CACGGGAGTCCATTCTGCCCAAGGGATGAGCTGGGGCAGCCTGTGCCCACATTACCTGGCACGTGGCCTCCCCATGTGGCTCCCAGGGTGACCTGTGCTTCCCTCACTTCTTTTTATCCACTGCTCATGACAGACCTGATCTCCAGGCCCACAGGGATGTGCCAAGGACTGGCACATTACAACATGTCATTCTACATGAACCTGCTGCTCTCCAGCCCCAACAGATCATTTTGCTGCCCTGTCCCCGTCTGGGGGTGACAACACTATCTTCTGCCTTCAAACAGGAGCTCAGGGTTTACAGACAGCAGGCATGGTATAAAAACTGCACAGCAGTTATCAGCAGGAGCGGAGGGTCCTCCACCTTCCAGCCATCTGTGGGATCTGCCCATCGAATATATGGGTGAATTCTCCCATGAAAGTCAGTACTGGGCATGCTTACCTGGCTTAATTATTTCTTAATAATTTCACTGCCACGTTCAGCCTGATCCAGCACAGCTACGTGGCTCTAGAGCCAAACCAGATTCTTCCCTGATAGTCTGTGAAGATGTGTATTTGTCATCTGCAATCTGTCCCTCGATTTCTGGCATGTATCTTCAGTGCTTTCTCTTGAAAGCTTTTTCAGATTTCCCTGGGCTTCTCCCTAACTTCTGTGAGCAAAGCCTCACACAGTTTAATTGTTGACATCTGTGTCAGGAGAAGGTTTTTTTACATTCCCCTTGCTGCAGGACACGAGTTGCTACACAAAGGGCTGCCTGCCTGTGTAATGCACCAAAATGTGGAAAGCAGACCATGTTTTTGGAGGGGGAGGTTTTGGGGGCTTTAACTGTTTGTGATGTTTTTTCAGAGATAATTGCAGCTCCACACATGAAAATGCTGATAAATAAAAGGCAGCTGAGCAAAGAGGTGTAAAGCTTTACGTACTTGGTTGGATAAAAGTGAATCTCTCCTCCTTTCCAGGAGTTTGCATTTTGGCTTCACGGTAAAGAAAAACCCAATTAAAAGGAAAAAAAGAAACTCACTTCTGATTTTATTTTTTTTTGTAAAGTAAAAGATGGGAAATGCAGGAGACTAGATTGATCTCCCTTTCCTGCCAGGCTGAACTCAAATCTGAAACATCTGTTCACATAACTGGAGACAAGCTCTTCCAGTCAAGTAATGTAAACTCAAGCTCTTCCTGCCATCAGTGCAGAACTATCAGTTAAGCTTTTTGTGGAAGCCTAAGAATCCAGACACTTCTCATGTTCCCTGCAAGCACTGAATAACCATGGGTTCTCACTACCAGCAAATCACTTGCAAAGAAAAATTAGCACCTTTTCCTAGTATTTGAAATCCTAAAATCTGTTTTTCTCTAGAACGACTGTGTACACATTATCCTTCAGGAGTTATCCAAACTGGGCAGTACCAGCTATATAAAACAGTATCTCACCCAGCACAGAGGGGTAACTCAGGTGATTGCAAAGATCAAGGACGGGGGAAATATTCAGTTTTTAGCATAGAATCACAGATTGGTTTGTGTTGGAAGAGACCTTTAAAAGCCATTTTGTCCGCCAAGCCCACCATCAGCAGAGTCACCTTCTACTATCCCAGGCTGCCCCAAGCCCTGTCCAACCTGGCCTAGAACACTTCCTAGAACACTAACCTGGTCCCACTGTTCAGCTCAATCTGCAAGGCAAAGAGCAGCACTTTAGCTGAAAGTACTGAGACCCCAATTTGCCAGCAGAACCTGCACACAGGCCTGGGGTCAGGGCTCCCAGCGCTCACCATGTCCCCAAGCCTGGCTCAAGGGGACCCATGGCTCATGCAGAACTCCATTCTGACATAAATGCCTGTGTGTAGGTGTGTGGAGAAGAAACAAGTCTGGCTATACAAGGACAGGCAGCCCAGAAACACAGCAGATGGAGCAGGAAGCAGAACTGTGCTCTACCCTGAACCTGAACCTGTTCCTGCAGCCCTCCAAGAGCTCTTTGTGTTCAGCATGGTCTGGAGCATGAATCTCATCCTGTCAGGGAAACAGACTGGAAATCAGGGTTCGTTTCAGATCCTGATTCCAATTCTGTCTCTCTGTGTACAAGTCATTTTGTTCCCCTGCTGTTTCCTCCAGCCTCACATGACAAAAAGTGCATGTAGTTCAGCACATGCAGTAGCTTTCCCGTGTGCAGGAATGCCATCCTGGTTATTTCTGCCTTCTCCCCACACAGCAGTAGATGGAGCCCTGCTCCCTGTTCTGGGATGCAGCAGCACCAGCGCTCCCAGCTGCAATGACCCTGCCAGGACCTGCCAGCACTGCAGGGGACAAAGCTGGGGATCACACGGGAGGGACCTCGGGCTCACAGCTCCTGCCTCACTCGTGAAATTCACTGAAACTTGGGACTAACAAAGGTATCCGACTGACCAGAGTGTTACCTTTTTTTTTTTTTCCCATTTAGGCATTGGGTAATGTTTCTTTCTTTTGTAAACTGTCATCAGGATTACATGGAATTCACCAGTTTTGTTTATTTTGCAAAATAAGGAACTACAAGGTTTGCTTGTCATACTGAGAAAGAACATATGTAATAGTTGTATCATGGCTGTGAGCACTGCAGACTACATTATCCAGAGGATTTTACAGGAACTAGAGGTCAGGATCCATGGCTAATTTCTCAGCCACTGCTTGCAGCTCTGATGCCTGCAGCTTGTGTGTGACAGGACAGAGAAGAGATCAGGGAACACTGGCACCTATGTGCAACTTGGGAAAAAATTATAAATGTATGTTGATTTTCTCTCCCCACCTCCACCTCCAAGTGCTTCTGCAAGTGACAGCAGTGCAGCCTGCACGGGTGCAGGCAGCCTCTGGAGCCATGCAGCACTGGGCCACAGCTACTGCTGCAGCTCCAGGAAGACACGCCACTTCTACAGCAACACCTGACAAATGGAATATTTCAGAGCAGTAAGAACAAAATCCACAGAATCACAGAATATGCTGAGCTGGAAGGGACCCACCAGGATCACTGAATCCAACTCCTGGTCTTGCAGAGTCACACAATGTTCCTGAAGGTATTGTCCCAATGCTCCTTGAACTCTGTCAGGGCTGATGCTGTGACCGCTCCTCTGGGAATCCTGTTCCAGTGCCCAGCCACACACTGCATTTAATATTTAATATTAAATCTCCTCTGACAACTTCAGGCCATTCCTTCAGGTCCTGCCACTGTCACCACAGAGAGATCACTGTCTGCCCTTCCTCCTCTCCTCATGAGGAAGCTGTAGACTGTGATGAGGTCTCCCTTCAGTCTCCTCCAGGCTGAACCCTCAGCCAACCCTCATCTGGCTTCCCCTCAAGGCCCTTCACCATCTTCATCATGTTTATCCAGCTGTGAGATGGACAGTTTGTCCAGAAGGATATTATGAGAGACAGTACTGAAAGCTTTACTGAAATCTCAAAAGATTACATCAAGTGGCCCCCCTTGATCAGCTAGGTGGGTTACTTTGTCATAAAAGAAAATCAGGTTTGAGAAGCAGGACTTTCCTCTCATAATGCTGTGCTGGTTTAGACTGCTCTCTCTTTCTAACAAATGTTTTGGAGGTTGGTTTTTTTTTGTGTTTTGGTTGGCTGGTTTAAAAATGCACCGTGCACATTCTGCTTCCTTCTGCTGCACACCCAAGTGCAGGCCTGACTGCAAATAAGAGCAACCCATGCTGCCAGGGAAGGCTATCCTCAAAGACAGTGTACAACCTGTTGTTCTCTGTAAACATGTACTGCTAGACAAACAATACATAAAACCACATTTTGTCTGGTTTTAGATTCTTTGAAGAAGACCATGTTATGCAGGTAGGAAAACTGAGAATATTGAAGAGTTACATGAGATGCTGGAGATTATATTTGCCAGCAAGGTAACTCAATATACATCTATTCTGGCACTCAATAATTTAAGAGAGGCCCCCAGCAGTGAATTACAGGATGATTTGCTCACAGCAGCAGCTCTCCATACTAGAGAGGGGCCAGAACTTTCAGTTAGGCACTCACAACCACACATCTCATCTGCACAGTCCAGCTTCAAAATGTGAGTTTTTGCTGATTTTTCATTTCTCCAAATAGAAATTAACAGTAGAAGGGAGATGAGACACCCATCCCTGAAGAAAGGGGGTTTCTACTGATTAGCCTAGAAGTGATTTGCTCTCTGAATTCAAGAGCTTATGCTGCCTCTGATCCTGCCCCCTGATGCTGACTAGATATGGTGGTCTGTTCATACAGGATCCAAGCCCCAGCCCTAACTGAGTAAAAATCTAGGTAAGGACTTCAGCATTTGATCTTTACAAAGCAGAAGCTAACAGCTTCTTTGTCTGCAGACAAATTAAATCCTTCAGAGTAGTGAAAATTAAATAGTCCTGCAGTCACGAGTGTTGGCATCTGGAAAGCTGCCACTAAGCTAATAATGGCATTGTCTAGCACTGCACAGAGGGAGGTCCCAGCATCCCAGAGCAGCCACACATCTGGAGACTGGGACCACAGCCATCAGCAACCCATGTTTAAGTAGCACATTCTTGCTCTTCCTGCCAGCTGCTCATCCTCTCTCACCACAGGCCAAGGGCAGAAGCCCACGAGCAGCAATGTGGTACTGGGAACAAACTGGAGCAGCCATGCACAGAGAAAGGTCCCTCAGTAGAACCCTGCCTGTCTGCAGACACCTGCCTTATTCACTTCACAAAAACACGGGCAACTGGCTCGTTTGTCACACACCTGCATTTGAACAGGACACCAGCCACTTTCACTGCTTCCTTCAGGTATCTGTGAGGAGTGTAAAGTGCTGGGGATGACTGTTCCTGGCTTACTCCAGCCTGGCCATGGGATAAGTTTCTTGTGTGCAGCAGAGCCACACTGCTTAGGAATGGGAGGAGAATCAGAGCTAGGAAGTGGGAGACGAACCAAACATGCAGATTATCACTCACAATCAGAGACAGAGAACAATTTCCAGAGAGGTGGGGATGGAGCTTGCACAAGGTATTCACCCTTTAATGCTACTCACCAGCAGCTGCCTGCAGAAGAGCCCAGGCAGGGATGGGAAGACCAAAGCAGGGAACGTGCTACAGGAGCCAGCAGCAAGAACACAGATGTATGATACAGCTGTGGGAGGAGAAGCACACTCACATGAAACATCCATCACCACGTGCACAGTGCTCCTGGGGGTGCCAGAGGTGGCTGATTCACAGCACTCCCCTCTGTAGTACAGAGAGCTGACAAGAGTTAAAGAGCAGAAGGAGATAAAGCACTAAAGAGAAGAGGGACATAAAATGCTGGAGAGGAGATATACATGAGTGTCCAAACACACACAAGGACAAGCTTGAGTAGAAAGAACGGACAGCTTTAGCACTGAATCACTGCTTCTCTTCCTGAAGTACCTGCCTTGTATTTGAAAAGACTTTCAAGGTACCAGGCTGTAGAAATCTGCATCACTGCTGAGCAAGCTGGATAGCACAGGGCAAACCAAGAGGAAACAGAGCAACCATGCACGAGGTATCCACCACTCTATAGAAGAGCAGCTCAGGCTGGCTAAGGGTGGCTGGGAGAAGATCCTGCTCCCAAGGAAGAAAAAGGAAAGGAAATTCCAAGAAGTTTCTTGGCAGCCTGGTTCTGTACCCACTGACATCCACTGCAAGGGGTATTTGTTGGCTCAAGAGATGTACCATCAGTGCTGGCAATAACTACATGGTTAATTAGGCCATCTCTCTTTGACAGTAAAAGAGACCCAAGTGTCTCAGATCCACCCAAGTAGATTTCTGTCCCAGCTGCCCCTTTCAGAACACTTGTCTGGAAAAAAAAGTCTTAGGATCAATCAGTATCTTATTCTCCAAGTTCATGCATAAAACACCTGGTGCATCCACACAAGCTGCTGTTCAGTCAACTCTGATACTGATTGCTCATAGCAATGGCAAATGCACACAGGGCTCTCCACTGTAGGTGTATGCATCAGAAAAATCTAATCATCTTTGCCTGCAATTGTAGCAAGAAAATAAAACCTCAGAAAGAATCTGCAGGTTCTCCTACTTAAGGTTTCAGTGCTTCTTGGTCAGAGGGATGGGCCTGCACCTATTGGTTTTCCCAGAAAATATAACTGCTGTCTTCCATGTGTGCAAGGCCTCCAGCAGTAGAGTTTAGCTGACAATTTCATCCCTTCAGAGACTTCACTCATTGGTACTGCATCATCTGCCTGTAGAATAAGGCTTTTACATCATGTCTGATTGGGAACATGAGCTTCCAAAAGCCCAGAGCTACATCAGGTGAGCTTTTTGTTGGCTTTTTGATAATGTTCCTTTGAGCTTGCCAGAGCAGGAGTTTGACTCCTGCAGCACTGACTACAGGGGACACACCTGACATGGATATCTTCAGGACTGGCCAGGTTCTTCCACCCATCAGGAGGAAGGGATAGCTTTTTCCTTGCTCAAGCTATGGATTACTGTAGCTAGGTATAACAGGGATCATTTCTGGAGGCCTGTGGTTTCCTCAGCACAGGGTGCTGACCATGGCCAAAATAAAGATTTTTGGCACCAAGGATGGCATCCTGGCCTTCTCTACCTGTAGCTTGTGCATTTCCTCTCTCTTTGGTCCCTTTATGCTCTCTTCTTCTGCTGCCACCTTGGTCTCTCCTGCCCATGGTAGATCCCAAGCAGTTCACAGCAGAGCAGATGGTGAAGGGCAGGAGACAGGAGGGAGCACTGGGAGGCTCATGCTCCCTTACTCCATCCATTCTGGGAAGGTGACACTGGACCATGAATAGTGATGGTGTTAACACCACACAGGGCAGCAGCTCATGAATTGGAATAGCAGCAACACTGACAGGACTCACAAGTCTCAGGAAAGAAAGCTGACGTGGAACTGGCTTGTTCATCTTTTCCATGACAGGAAACATTTCAGCCTCTGTTATCAGCACAAACACTGTGGGCTCTCATCACGCTTTGCAACTCGCCACACTCCATGCTGGGCCCACATGAGTGAAGAATGCCAGAGTGATACTTTTGCCTTCCACAGGCTCCAAATGCAACACAACTCAACCCTCTGTTATGCTTTTCAGTCTCCAAAGCACTCAGCTGCTCATTTTATGGTGTCACAGCCCATGGATGGATCAGCCTTCTAAGTAAAGCAAGCTGGTCATCCAGAGCCAGCTGCTGCAAGGACCACAGGACAAGTGGCCTGTCCAGGGCCAGAAGCCCTTGGACCAGTTGTGGCCACCAGCTGTCAGCCAGCCTGTCTGACTCAGTCAGAAAAAAATCCTCCACTTTCAATCCAAACATGTAACAACTGAGTAAAGAGGCAAGGAAGAAGAAGGGCAACTAGCTCTCACAAGTATCTACACAGCACTGTCTTCAGCTCCCATTTTTCAATTACTTTTCTGCTTTATGGCCCTAAACACAAGAGGAAAAATGGAGGTGAGCTGTAGAAAGCAATCAGTCTCTCAGCTTCTTGTGCATTCACACCAAAGCAGAGCTTGGATCAGGGACACCCTCAGGAAGTGCTGGAAAACACATCCAAAGCTTTGTGAAGAATTGCTTTTACAGGTCACAGGTTGTTTTGGAAATCACAAGCAAAAGGCACTGAAGTGTAACAAGTTTTTGAAAGGTCAGCAGAAAATTCCTATTGCATTTCAGACACAATAAAACCTTATGACTTGAAAAAGGTAATCAGGAATACCGTAAAGAAGCCTTACCAGAAATCACAAGTGAATCCTAGAGATTTTGATCTAAGCTGGAATCTGCTTCAAATCTTGCTGCAGAAAGGTTCATAGCCCTGAAATCAACAGAAAGGACACAGCAATAACGTACACGTAAGAATAAGACCCATTGGGTCTTACTGGCCCCAAATCTGATTTAGTAAAACCGGGTTAAGACAGGATGTTAGCCTTGGCTTCAGTGGTTCTGAGCTGTCCCTCAGATAGTACCTGTAGCAGAGGAGCTACTCTCTAAAATTAGACAATGCATTAGCTAGGTGTTTTTAGGTATCAAATTCTTTCTCTACTTCTCACTAAAAGCTGACTCAAACAGCCTTCTCTTTAGTGACTGCACAGTTAGATTTTGAGGCATTGTGTATTTGCATTGGGCCAAATTGCTACAATTTGCCTCTTTACTTCAAGTGAAGGTTTTCTGGGGAAAGAGCAGTTGCAGTCAGGAGCCATCCCTGGGGCCCCAAGAGCACAAACTGTAGCTCACCACCATTCTAGATTCATTCTGTAACGCACCAGCCATTCTAGATTTCCTTCTAACCTACTTTATACACGGTGAATGTTTCACTTCATGCAGAAGGGGATTGTCTCTCACGCATGCAGCACCAGCCTGCACAATGGTTTGGCAGCCCCTGGGCTCTGCCTTTCAAGGCTGAGAGAGGGCTCCAGTCCTGGGGTGTCACAGGTATCAGATATTTGTGTACATGGATGAGGCACACAGTTGCCCCAAATCTGGTATTTGTATGTGCAGCTTGGAAATATAAAATCAAAAGGCAGAGAATTTATAAAAACTTAACTTATAAAAGCAAAAGAATATATGGGTAGAAATCTAATTTCAAATGACAACCAATGTATGTTTGTTTTATGGATATCAGTTATCTACATAGGCCTTGAAAAACACTCAGAAAAAAGCGGAGATGTCCCATGGTTTTCCCTTTCACCCAAAGACAGCCTAAAGCAGCAGCTCTGGTCATTTGCTTTCCAGAGTTCCTCAGGTTATGGTGTAAGGAGACAAAAGATATCTATGACTGATCCCTGCCTCTCTGCATCTCTGTAATTCATCCCTCTTTCTACTAAGTGCTTTTTTTACCTTTTCTCATGACTGACTGACTACCTGCTATGCCAGTCCTGGTTTTCCTGCCGGATGGCAAACATCCATCTCCTGGCTGCACTCACTTGCAGGAAGCAGCAAGCCTGCTGCCTCACTCCCCACAGCACTGAAACAAGTGACATGAAACTGAACTTCACTACAACCACAAATGTACATAACCCACTGAAAAGTGTGGGGCCAGGCTTGCATGACAGGCTGCTTGCAGAAGTCTCAGACTTGGGGTGAAACGAAGCACCAATTTTAGGTGTATATTTTGTTGTAGATGGAGGCCACTCATTCCACTGTTAGAAGCACACGAACACAGAAAAACAGTGTTAGACCCAGCACTAGCAGCTGATCCATGATGGGATTTATCCTGTAGCACCAGATATTAAAATCTTTACAGAGTATGCCACCTGCTAAATAAATCCAAGATCAGGAGACACAGACACGCCTGTAGAGACGATAAATAAAGCCCAATAAAAAGTCAGAGTTAATTTCCATCCTGAGACCTAGACCCAGGATGGAGGCTCTGTTCTGTGCACCCTACAGTCATCACTGCCCTCCTCCTTTGAGGGCTCCTCACCTCAATAACACAGCACTCTCTGGAGCGAGACCTGGGAGCTCTCTCGTCAAAGAGCCACAGAGAGGCCAGCAGAGAGCACCAAGCCTAAACCTATGAGTCTGAAGTTATTTGAAGACAAAAGCACGCATAGAAAAACCTCCCATTTAAAACATGGGTTATAAAAGCCAAGCAGTTGTGTGCAGTACTGTGATCAAATGCCATCCTCATTCCATCACAGCTTGAAATAGATCGGGTAACAGGCAAACAACTGTAAAAATCCCAAGCTGCTGCCAAGGAACACACAGCAGGCAGCGGCACCGTGCTGGTGCTTCACTTCCAGCACTGTGGCATCTGTCCAGGGAAAGCCTCCGTTGTGCTCCAGGAACATGCTGACTGCCGGTACCGCCAGAAGAACCTTGCTGGTGACCCATACACTGCAAAGGCTCCACAGGCCCCAGCGCTACAGGCTGAGTGTGCCCAGACCTCAAGAGCACCCTCAGCTAACAGGACATGGGCAAAAATGCCCTTATTTTGTTTACACAGTCCATAGGACAAAAGCTAGGCACATGATTCACGGTCTTCCCAGATCTTCTGAACCCCTTCTGTCAAGCCTAGGTAGTTCTCCTATTTTAGCTGCTGCCTGCACAGGCTTTGCTAGTGCTGGAGGCTGAGGCTTTGTACCAAGCCCCAGGAGTTCCGTACATTCTGTTCAGAGTGCCAAAGGCACTGAATAACCACTTACATTTGCATTTGTCTAAACATACCCTAAACATATTGCAAACAAATAGCAGGGGTAAGTTTAGCACTCGAGGCACAATTAAAAGCTAAAAACACCCAGCAATAATTTGGTCCTTTTTCAAAAAAGACCAGAAAAAGCCAATAAGTATAATTGAAACGGTATTTTTGTACTGCAGCAAAAAACAAAAAATAAAAAGGCCTAGATGTTTGCCAAGAACTTTAAAACCTATTTTTAACCAGTCAGTACATTTTATGAGCTATCTGTAGATGAGATAAGCTGCTAAATACAATTTCTGGGCTTTAGACTTTTGCTACAGGCATGTTCAATCTCTGTTGCTGCCTGAGCCTGGCTGCTTTCCGCTGCAGCAGGATGGCAGAGGTAGCCAGCCTCCCAGCAGAGCTGCTGCATTCCCATCGGATCATGCTCACCAAGGAAAGGAGGCTGGAGTGTTGAGGGTGGGCTTGGGAGAGCCGAGAGGGTCGGGGTGCTGTTCTTGGCAGATTCCCCGTGTGACCTTGAGAGCGACTCAGCCGCTGCCCGGATCCGCTTCCAGCCTGGCTGGAACAGCCGCAAACGCCACGAGGCTCAGAGAAACAGAACGGACTGGGTGAAACAGAAAGGAAATGATGCACGAGGATGCAGTCACATCGCTGATTTCTAAGATAGCTTGGACTGTGTTTGGAACAAAAGCTCTAACCCACGTAATAAAAGAGAAATAAAGCGCTAAAAACAAGGAGCAGCATCCCCTTAGTTATTTTATCCCGATGAGCTTTGGATGAGGCAGATATTACTGTAATCGAGCGCCTGTGAGGTGTCTGAATGATGCTGTACCTGATGAGATTCATCCTCCCGACATCCCTGCATGAGGGGAGGAGGAGGCTGAGCCCTGTTTGGTCTGGAGCTGGTACAGAACACTCCCACAGCTACAGACAGCCCCTGTCGCAGCTGTGTGATGGGCACCGGCGATGTGGTACTGCAGCTCCGCCTGGAAACAGCGCGGGATGCAGCCCTGCGGTGCAAGAGAAACCCCGCTCACAGCCCCGGGAGATGGAGAGAAACCCCTCCTTCACAGCTCGGGGAGATGGAGAGAAACCCCGCTCACAGCCCCGGGAGATGGAGAGAAACCCCCGCTCACAGCCCCGGGAGATGGAGAGAAACCCCTCCTTCACAGCTCGGGGAGATGGAGAGAAACCCCCGCTCACAGCCCCGGGAGATCACCGTGGCACCGAGCCGGGGACCAGCCGGGCTGCCCGGGCACCGCGAGTGTCGCTGCGAGCACCCGGCCGTGCCACACAGCCAGGAACTGACACACAGCCAGGAACACACACAACCAGACACTGACACACACAGCCAAGAACTGACACACAGCCAGACACTGACACACAGCTCATCCTGCACACACACACAGCCATCCTGACACACACAGCCAGGAACTGACACACACAGAGCCAGGAACACACACAACCAGACACTGACACACACAGCCAGGAACTGACACACAACCAGGAACTGACACACAACCAGACACTGACACACACAGCCAGGAACTGACACACAGCCAGGAACTGACACACAACCAGACACTGACACACACAGCCAGGAACTGACACACACAGAGCCAGGAACACATACACACAGCCAGACACTGACACACAGCTCATCCTGCACACACACACACAGCCAGGAACACACACACACAGCCAGACACTGACACACAGCTCATCCTGCACACACACACACAGCCAGGAACACACACACACAGCCAGACACTGACACACAGCTCATCCTGCACACACACACAGCCAGGAACTGACACACACAGCCAGGAACTGACACACACAGCCAGGAACTGACACACACACACCCCGGGCACACACACAGCCAGGAGCACACACACAGCCAGACACTGACACACACAGCTCATCCTGCACACACACAGCCAGGAACTGACACACACAGAGCCAGGAACACACACAACCAGACACTGACACACACAGCCAGGAACTGACACACAACCAGGAACACACACAGCCAGACACTGACACACACAGCCAGGAACACACACACAGCTCATCCTGCACACACACACAGCCAGGAACTGACACACACAGCCAGGAACTGACACACACAGAGCCAGGAACACATACACACAGCCAGACACTGACACACAGCTCATCCTGCACACACACACAGAGCCAGGAACACACACACACAGCCAGACACTGACACACAGCTCATCCTGCACACACACAGCCAGGAACACACACACAGCCAGGAACTGACACACACACAGCTCATCCTGCACACACACACAGCCAGGAACTGACACACACAGCCAGGAACTGACACACACACAGCCAGACACTGACACACACAGCCAGACACACACACACACACACAGCCAGACACTGACACACACAGCCAGACACTGACACACACAGCCAGGAACACACACAGCCAGACACTGACACACACAGCCAGGAACACACACACAGCTCATCCTGCACACACACACAGCCAGGAACTGACACACACAGCCAGGAACTGACACACACAGNCCCAGCACTCACCAGCACACCCTGCCTGGCCCCAGTCTCTGCCCCGGGCTCGCAGCAGGCTCTGGGGGGAAGCTCCGGGGGAAGCTCCGGGGGGAAGCTCCGGGGGGAAGCTCCGGGGGAAGCTCCGGGGGGAAGCTCCGGGGGGAAGCTCCGGGGGAAGCTCCGGGGGAAGCTCCGGGGGAAGCTCCGGGAGCTGCCGGGGTCTCGCTCCGTGCAGCATCCCGGGGTAGCTGTGGCCAGGGGCACTGGGGCTGCTGCAGAGGCCAGTCCTGCCCTGCTCCCCCCAGGCTAACAACAGCCACACTCTCAGTTCCTGTCCGGCTGCACAGGATTGCCTCGGCTGCTGCCCAAAGCCAAGATCCTGCTCTGGGTGACTTCAGGAAGCCATCAGCTCTGACCACAGCAGGATTTCATTCCTCTGGAACAGAAGGCTCATATTTGCACTTCTTACACCCCATGTCCATGCTTCAGGATAAGGACACACCGCAGATCACACCTGAAAAGTGACTATTTAATCCTAGAAATTTTTTCCAACCTAAACAATTCTATGGGTCTGTAAGACTGCTCTGCCTGGAACACAGGCCTCAGCCTTTACTGCAATAAATGGGAGTTTCCACGGAGAGGAAACCAGTCACCACCTGCTGTGTTCTGGGGTTGTTTTGTATCTACATTCACAAGACCACTGTCATCAGTTATGTATGTCTGTGTCAAAGCTGATTTCAAAACGCTGCCAGCCACAGCAGCAGAGACACGCTCCCGTCTGATTGCCACATACAGTTCCAAAGCCCAGGCAGATCTGAGAGTGCATCCTGCAGCCAGGATTCACAGCTCCACCTCAACATGTCACTGCATGCTTATTGCAGCTGCCTCCTCTTCCTGTGCACCACATAATCTCACACCTGCTGTTCTCACTCCTTTACTTCTAGGTTAGCTGTACCTTTGCTGAGCAGAAATACTGCAATTCCAAGGAAAGCAACAGCGACAAGTCACTTCAAACAGCGACAGTAGCCACGGCTGCCAACACATGGCATTGCAAGGCTGCTGAGCAGGGCCTGTCATTATCATTTTACAGATAAGAGAACAAACCCCTTCAGAAGGCAAAGATGCAAACTGGCACTTTCCAAGTCACCAGTTTAGCTGCTTTTGAATGCCAATAATCACTTGCATTTGCTCTCCATTTACCTCATTAATCCCAGACAAGCAAGTGTCAGTGACTCACTCTCCCCTCTGTCCCTGAACAGCCACAGCTCACCCCTTGACCAGTCACCCAACACCCTGGAATTGGACAACCTCTCTGACAAATCAGTTACAGGATTAACTCAATTTGAATCAACTCTGTACCTCACCCCAAATGAGGTGGTGCACAAAGGGACCACCTGTTTGAAGCCCTGCTCTGACATACACTAGTCACTTTGTTTGCTTTTTAATATTTTTAAGTGTTCCTTCATTTCAGTCTACATTTTTCTTAATAAATTTATTTTCAATATCGAAAGAGGTGCTTCTACTAAAACTGTTTCTACTGTTGTGCTGAAGCTGTGGAGGAATTCAGGTGAAGATCTCCTTTTAAGTAAGCTTTTAAGTGTATTCCAAACACTGAAAACCACATTGTCCTTCAGAAGCACCTGACCAGCGACATCAGTCAGTGCTGCTCTGTGCTCCACCACCGTCTGTTTGCAAGAGCTGTTAATGCTCCGTGGACACTACGGGATGCAACAGGGCAGACAATGAACACAGACTCGTGCCCGCCTAGTTGGGTGGGGATACATTTGTGCACAGGTTTCTTTTGAACAGCAGATAAGTCTATGTCTACAAATACAAAATGAGCTTTTCAGGTGGCAGCTTTTAGGGAGCTGGCAGTGAATCACAGCTTGTTTCTGTGGCCACCACCTGCTTGTTGATGACAGAAAGGCACAACCAGATAATGCTGCTACTGCAGGACAAGTCTGATCAGCGCAGCCCTGCACTCACTCGGGGAACAAAACACCCATGCACAGACACCTCCTGGTGTCTGCAAAGCACCCACATGGATGCTCTGTGTTTGTCCAGTGCTCCGTCCTGTAGTCGTGATTTTCTGAACCTGAGAGAATATTCACGCTCTCAGATGCTGACTATTCCCATAGGAAAGTGTTGAGAACCATTCTCACTCAAAGATTGTTTGTGTAAATAAGGAATTACTTTCCCAAACAAGGCACAGATGTTCTGAGCATGTTCTTCTCTCTTATCCCACCAGTGGGACGAGATGGGTGTTATTCCTTCTACCAATCAGGGTGACCTGTTGGGAGAAGCTTTTAAAAGGGTTGACAAGACCCCTCAATAAAGGCTTTTGCCTCATGAAAAGTAGCTGTGTGTCTGATTATCCGGGGAACCCTCAATACTTTGTGTCCTTCCACAACACCATCCCACAGGGCTGGTCTTTGGGGAGAACCCACAGCCTCTGGAAGCACAAATAATCACCAGAGATCGCTGCTGTTGGTCCTGCAGGTGCCAGGCTGATCAGAGCAAGCAGCTGACTGAAAGGTGCTTTACTTTGACCTAGCAGACTAGCAAACTGTGGTTGAAACTACTCAAAGGTAGAAAATAGATAGACAAAGCTAACTAAAATCAAGTTATCTTTTCTTATGTAAAGCATCAATTGTTCCCACTCACATGGCTGACAACTACTGGCCTGTCTCCCTAAGCAGGGACTATTACAGAGGCTCTCCAGAACTAGCCTGGCAAACTGGAGCTTTGGGGTTGTGCAAACTGACTCACACTTGAGAGCGAGCAGAGATCTGTTCTGCTGTTTTGACAGTGGAAATAAAGCAAAGCTTCACAAGTAAAGATGTTATGGGGCAAAGTCCACACATGACATTAGCAAGTGGACCACGTGCCAGCCTGGGAGGAACATCCCACTGCACGGCAGAGCCCCAGGGCTCCTCTTCCCTCTTCCAACAGCCTCTCCGTGCCAGCACAGCCCCATGGCAGGGCAGGATGTGCACTGTGGCGGGGCAGGAGGGCTCTGCTGCCAGGAGGAATGGCAGCACTGGGACCTTCTCCACACTGAGAGGCGAAACAACTCTACATCAGTGGTGTAATGCATTTCTATACACTTCTGTTACAGAAGTCTACAGTGTCTCCTGTGCTGTCCAAGGACCCAAACTGTTGCCGAGATGCAGATTCAAATTAACTCAAGGTAAAAATTAGTATCAGTCACTGCTTTACAATTCAAATTCATGTGAAGAAGCCAAACTCTAAATGCAAAATCAGATCAACCCAGATTCACAACCAGATCTTGCACATAAACAAAGCAAGCTTGCTCAATCATGGATTCGTGCCACTTTCAGTGTTTTTCTAGTCTTGCCATGCTCATCCTGAGCTATGGACCCAGGGGAGCAATGTCTGATGCTCTACAATCACACACATACCGTGGTGTTTCCCTTGTGTTTCTGCTCTCTCTCCCAAGTACAAGGGTGTTGCACATGCAGTGTTTGGAATAGCCCTACCTGCTTCAGGTAGGCTTCACCTCACAGCTGTCTCTGTGGTTTACAGCACTGCCAGGCTACAACTATCCCACCTGTATTTGTCATGCCAAGAGTCTATCTCAAACAGAACTATCCGGACTTGTGAAAAACAAAACAGGTAGTTTTAAAAACAGGGAATAAGA